AATTAAAAGTCTCTTTAAAATTATTTCTTTCCTAGAATATTGAGAACACCAATTCATTTTTACTAGAATTTCTTTAAAGAAAATAACCATATAAGTGTTTTCTAAATGATAACAATTGTCTTCGTGTATCAGATTAAATTATTATTTACTTTTGTGGTGGGCAGTGAAAATTTTGGCAGGGGAAGTATAAATCTGAACCATTACAGGAAAGAAAAAAAAGCATTGCTATATTGATTCCTTAATTATGATTGGTTGAGCCATATTGAAAGCCATTGCAAATTATGCTGTGTTCATGCCATGTCGTAATTACCATAATTTCAAGATGATTTCAAGATTTTCTATGGAAACACTATCAATGCCAAAGTGTTCACGTCCTCATAGAACTCATTATAACTTGAAAGCTGGCAATGTTCTGAGAGCTGTACCACCTGACTGCCCCAGATTCATTTAGGTGCCATTGATGTTGATATTGCCATAGAAACTCATAATTCTAAGTTTGAGGACATGGACAGGCTGCGTTCATGCCATGTCATAATTACCATAATTCTGAGATAACACATGCGTTCTACTCTGAGCTGTTCCACATCCTCAGAGGCAATCTGTGGTGGTCAGGCGGCAAAAGCAGTATCACACTTGCAGTCTGCAATATGGCTCTATATCAATTTGTCAAGTCTGACATTACGTGTTACAATTTCTGGGTCCAAACATGATTTCAGATCTCAAAAGTACACTGCAATTTTTAAAAAGCTTTTAAAATTTACACGAGTTCAAGTGCGAGTTCTGCAAGCATGTGAATGGTTACCATAGAAATGGAGTTACCATAGTGTTGCCATAGAAATGCATAATTCCGAGTCTGAGGACGTGGAACAGCTCAGAGTAGAATGTCATGTGTTGTTACAGAATCTCGAAATTACAGTAATTACGACATGGCATGAACACAGCTTTACTCTAGAAACATACACCTGTGACCTCATTACTTTGGTATTAATGCACCATTGTGTCTTTGTGTTGCTTGGAAACCATTCTGAAGGGCATTCCCCAGAATGCGATTTTGAGAGAGGGGACCACAGATGGAGAGGAAAATCTTGGGGAAAAAAACATGATTGGGCTAGTTTTGAATAGCCTTTGGACTGGTTTTGTTTCACAGGCCTGATAACTCTTTTTTGTTGCTCCGTGTCGTGCCTAACAACGGCACTTAGATGTTCTAAATTTACTGTAAACCATGGCTTTTTGGGGCATATTGCTTTATTTGATCACAAGGCTCAACCGACGAGCAATGCGGCCTGAGGTAACGATAGAGAACTTCTGCACTTTTTGAAAACAGGTCGCATCGCTTTTGGTTCAGGTGTTTTGTATGTGCTTCATTAAATTTGGGGCTGTTTTACTCAAGATGCCTACAAAGGAGATACCAAAGATGAGCAATATGGCTCTATATCAACAAGACTGTGATCATGGCCATTTTTTGTCAAGTATATCACGCAACCTTTTCTGGGTCCAAATACCATTTCAGATCTTAAAAGAACCCTGTGACTTTTTAAAAGCTTAACAATAAATGAATAGTATTCACACATGAAACAGAGTAAAGGCTTGGACCTGGAAACAGTATTTGATATGTCATGACTTAACAAGTGGATAGAGCCATATCACACTCCTGCTTGTGTGATATTTAAAATAAATAAATAAATAAATAGTGGACTTGTAGTCTGAATTTGTGGACACTCAATAATACTTCTCTGTCCTGGCCACTTTTTCGGTGATTTGAGCAGGAAGCTTAATTTCTGGTCTTTCATCGTAGCCATGGGTAGCAAAAATTTCGGTCAAGTCTTCCTATTGAAAACAAATGAAAGAAGAAAATCTTAATTTCTAATCTTGTAGTAATATTGATGGCGATATATATTTTTCACAATAACTGCAGTTATTTGCAGAAATCCTTGGTTCTTTATCAGATGTACAAGTATTCTGAGGCTGCACAGGCTAAATTTAAAAGAGAGACTTTCATTTAAAAATATAGCAATATCCATTACCTGTAATGTAAGGTAGGTAACAGCTCATGACTTTTACTTCATACCTCTGATTTTATGGAAGACACAGGTACCCTTGTTCTCTCTGCCCTCAGTTCCATTGACAAGACAGTTTCAGTTTCTAATAGCCTAAGGGCAACTTTTGCATTCTCAGGCTTAAAGCAATATCCACCTAAAATCAACAGAGAAAGCCACAGTGATCTGTCAACTTCTTTCAATGTTGAAATAATTTAGTCAGTAAAATGGATTTCATCAACGCCCAGGATTCATTCCCCCAGCCATAGGGAATCATGAAAGTGAAAGTGAAGTGAAGTGACGTGTGGCCAAGGGCCAAGTATGGTGACCCATACTCGGAATTTGTGCTCTGCATTTAACCCATCCAAGTGCACACACACAGTAGTGAACACACACACACACCGTGAACACACACCCGGAGCAGTGGGCAGCCATGTGCCTTCAGCCTTTAGGTTACAAGTCCGACTCTCTAACCATTAGGCCACGACTGCCCCATCACCAGAATACTAGGCACTTCCGGCTCCACATCCACCATTCACTTCCTGTTTGTTTGTTTTTTTCATTGTTTGCACCTGTGTCTCTTTAGCATTGTTAGCTCACCCTATATAAGCCCGGTTCTCACTCTCATTCATTGCTAAGTCTTGTTTATGTCATTGCTGCAATTCTAAGCCTTGTATACTGTGTCTTGCTTCCTGGTCTTGTTGTTCTGCATGTTTTCTGGATTACTCTGTTTGCCTCAGCCCCTTACTCTGTCGTTGTTTTGGATTGCCTATTTGTATATGACCTTTGCCTGCCTTTGGATTACGTTTGTGGATTACCCATTCAATAAACTACTGCATTTGGATCCTTTACCTTCATGCCAACATGCAGTTTCATTACAATATGTCAGCATTCCCATTTATTTCAAGGGCAGTTGCTTGACTGGATCCTGCATTTAAAATCTTTGCTCATTGGCACAATTTTCTTTTCTTTGTTTAGCTAAGCATGCGAGTTATAAATGCCTATAAATTACTCTAAAATCAGACAAACATACTGATAGGCTAAACACTTTTAGGCTAAACCGACTACAAATAAAGTCTCAAGGCCTTAACTAGCAACAGTCTGTCCTGAACTGTGATGTCAAAAGCAATTATGGTTATGGAAGTTTCTTTTCTTTTGTTTACCAAAAATCCATTTTACAACTTGTATTGTTATTTACAGAAAATACTAAAACATTTAATTAAAATGTATGGGGAAAACTTAATAACTTGCCTTAGGTTTGATAGTAGTGTGACCAAATATATTTATAAAATAGACCCATAAAAAAATCATATAATAATTCGAATAAAAAACAATAGTATTTTGAGTTAATTTTGTGCCTTAAAAATGATTAGAAGAGAAAAATGTTAATACAAACACACAAACCTGTTACATAGCTGATTCCATGTAAAACAGTGTTATCTGCTTTGCCAACAGTAACTGCATCAACCACAATATTGCTGTCCATCAATTTTCTGGCAATGGTGACTGGATTACTCATGGAACTGTACATTAGACAATAAACATTATCCATAATCATTTTAGTTGGTGTAGCAACATTTTAAGACCATCGATTCAAGTAGTATAGGAATAGATACACAAATACACACACCTGAAATCATTGCCATCTGTCAAACACAAGATGCGACATCTGCAAGCTGGAAATCTTTTCTTGATATTGTCAAGCTCTGAGATACCACAAACAAGTGCATCATATAGCCTAGTGTACCCAGATGCTTCAATAGCATGCATTTGCTTCTACAAGTAAAAATTAATATGCAATACATTATTGATTCAAAAAGTACAGAAATAGCATTTATCATTACTACTACGTTTTTTTTTCTTTAATTGTGGTAATGGTGTAATAATCAGGACAAAAATACCTTGAAGGTTTCCAAATTTTCTGTGAATTTAAGAACAGTTTTCACTTTGTCGTTAAACATCACAAGGCAGATGACATGTTGAAAATCATACGACATGCTTCGGTTTGCAAAGCTGTCAAAGATTTGCTTGACAGCATCAATGCGCTTCATTTGACTTGCGGTGTCATAACATCCTTCCATCATTGAAGAACTTGAATCAAAGAGCACCTGATAGGAGCATTAATTAATTAATTTAGCATTAGCTTGTTTGTTAATGTAAATGATGTACTCTAAGTTATATGGATGTTGTATAATTACTTTATGAAACCATAGAGCTTTGAAATGATTCAACACTTCATACTTATAAGTGAACATGCAAAAATAATGATTTCAAATCTGATTAAATAAGTCTATTACTCGGAGTCTTTAACACCTTTTATGTGAATAAAAGGTTTTCTTTTATATTTCCTCAAAACTGTATTGTGAAAGGATTTATTACTTTTTCAGCACAGAGTATGTTGTGGCCAATTGGTGATCAAAAGTAAGCATGTACCAAACTGCTGTGTCCTGGTACAGTTAGGGATTATAGCCGTTTGAAAGTGTAGTAAAAGTTGCAAAAGCTTCTCTAGTACTTCTCTAGTACTTACCACAACTGCCTCTTTAGGGGTTTTACTGACTTCAACAATGTTGTCAGTTCTGGTATCATTGAGTCTGATTGGGTAAGGTTGGAAAAAGGAGAAAGTTATTATTTATACAATTTGTACTGTAAACCATACAAATATAAAATATTAAATGAGCTGCTCAGTCATGAAGTGACTGAAATCAATGTAATATATATATATATAATACACAAGCCTTTAAGTTGATCAGCTAATGTAAAAGCTTTTCAATGTTTTTATTGTGTTTAATGTGTTTATTTGCTGGCTATTGGTTAAATTGGCAGTAAAGTACCCTATTTTACTGCCAAATACCTATAAAGATATACTATTGGCAAATTAAAACAGTGGGCAGGATCACACAGACCAAAACACAAATAGACATTCCAGCATTATTAGCATTTATCAAAGTACTGTAAATATACACACATAGCCCTTGTCTTTTATTTATGGGGGAAAGCTCCTAAACTGTAGATATACTTACATTCTAACCAGATCATTCACATTTTTTGTGGTCTCTTTTCCAGAAAGACAGTCGAAAACCTTAATCTCATACCGGTCTGCCTTGTTTTTGTTCAAGTAAACACCTAGATTATCTATACAGATAAATAATGTTAGATCAGAATGAATGTCTACATTAAAAAATATTTTGCTAAATATAAACAGGGAAAAAAAATCTGATTAGGTTTTTATCACTCAGGTAGTAGGGCAACTGAAACTTAATTGCAAATCTCCTATTGATGTTGTTTATCTTGTATATTTACAGTATAATCAATCAATTGATTAAACAGTCTAGCTTTTAACATTCAAAACATATAAAAAAATTGGACCTTCACTGAGATACACCAGCAGAGGTCCCTCTATTCCCATATTTGCCAGTTGCAGGGGTGGTGTGACAATCAAGTGACTGTACTCTTTGACATCCTCAAACATGTCTGAAAATGTTTTCTTCTGTTCAATCTGAAAGCTTTAAAAAGCATTTTGTATAAAAATGTAATATTGTTTTACATATCAAATATGATATTATTATTAAAATACAATATTTAGATTAAAATACATTTATATTTATAATATAAACAATTTATGTAATTATAGTTTTTTTTTTTCAAGACTCCTAAATATGACATACTTGCAACCTTGTGGGGTGCTGTTATAAGAGATCCATAATGGAAACCTATCAAATGATGCTGGAAGACTAAGCAAAATTTTCTCTATATCTGTAGCTCTTTGAATCGATGACTCCAGTAGATTCACCTCATCACAGTTTGGAATTTTTACACCATCTAAAATAAAAGCTCACGGCATTACGGATGTGGTGATAAATTGATGATGGTAAAACAAGCATGTCAGTTCCAGCTTTTACCAGTGATTTTTTCCAGTATGTATGACCGATCAAATATTTCTGGTGTCCCTGGTACTCTCACTGGCTCAGACAGCCGCTGGCCAGAATAAGCGTTCAAGGATACTGTAGCATAGTTCTCCAGATCATTATTCTCATTCTGGTAGAAACAAACAAAAAAACAAGAAATGATAAAATGGAATGTGTTTTCAATCAGCACATTTTTGTAAATTTTATTTTCTTTTTAGAGTGGCTGCTACCATCACTGCAAATCGAGTATCTATAAACAGAACACAGACCAAGGCAGTATATTTTAGTGATAAAGTTTTTTGTGCAATATTAATAATATGAATTGTATATACTTTTTCAAAACAGAATCATCTATCTTTTAAAAATGTCACGTGTGATAAAGAACTTTTTGCTTTATTTAATATTTGTCACAAATGTTATCCAAAGTTGTGAAATGTATAAAGTTCATGTGGTCATTTAAGATGCACATTGTCTGGTTTTTGGGAAATAGGCTGCAGTACTTGTACTCCATGCTGCTGGAATGAAAAATAGTTCCTGAACCGATTCTTATCTGATTTATGAAGTGCTGTGTCAAGAAAAAAACAACTGCAAACATACCTGTCCTTGAGCAATCAAGTAAGCCCAGCAGATATTTGTATATTCAAAAACATCACCATCTTCAATGACCTTTGGGCCTGATCTTTCATTAAGACCTGGTAACAACTTTCGGAAAAGAAAATAAAGACCCTCAACAACTGCAATCTGAAATGAAAATATAAAGGAGTTATTTTAAGATTTATGATTGGACTTAAATATTTAATGGATAATATTGCAATGATAATAATTCACTTTATATCAGTGTGTGAAAATTACTAAGATAAATACATTTAAAATTCAACCCCATTCTTTGAATAATTTACAAGCTTTTTATTATACAAAATATAGTCTACCTTTTGGTTTCTAGTTGCATGCAAGTTCCCACAGATCAGTTGGAATAAACTTTGAGCCAAAGCATTGCATCCACTTAGTCTTCGAATATATGCAACCACTTTCTTAAATTCTGTTTATGTTTCTAAGAATAGGACAAAATACAGAACATCTTACCAATAGTTGCACTGAAAAATAAAGCAATATGTTTTATCTGAAGTTTGGAGCTGCTGGCATCAAAACTGCTGTCAAGAAACAGATGGATACTATTGCATTGTTTTGGTAATTACGTGAGCTGTGGAGCATTTGGCTCTACTGTTCTCATGGTTTGAGTACCGGCATTCCCATAGATACAGTTGATCATCGTAGAATGTCTCTAACAACATCAAAACTCACCCAATAACTAACCAAATAAATAATGAAACAGTCTTTCAAACAAGCAAAAGCTATCGCGTAGCTTTGACTATATAAATAACACTAACATGATTGGCCACAGTTGTTTATTTTTTTAGGGCTGGAGCTAAACTGTAGGACAATGGATCCTAAGGAGCAGAATTAAAGAACTCTAAATTCAAGAATCTAGATTCTCTGGAATTTAACCTTATCACACGTCATGATGTCATTGGACTCACTTCTTTGATTGTGTTGACTAATATTCCAGTGTTAACTGAAATGAAAATGGTGTTTGAGTTCTAGCAGTTAATATACACTGATGTTACAGACCACTTCTTGCTCCTCTTATTCCTCTTACAAACCATTTTTTATCTTGCTCAAAATCTTTCCATCACTATCAGAGAAGTGACAGCCCCAGGATTGTGTGAGTCCTGTGTACAGTTTAAATACCAGAGAATCTTGAAAGTGAATCTTGAAAAATATCCTGCAAGAGAACATGTTAGTATCTGGGACTATTCACCATGTTAACCACCAGATGGAGACTGATTTAAATGATTTTTCTTGTTTGAATACTATTGTAACCTGTGCCTCATCATTCTGGTGTCATATGCTCTTTGTCTTTTGCATTTAAACCTTTTCATACATTTATTAATTTGTGTGTGTGTGTGTGTGTGTACCTGTTTTTCTATTCTGGTGGGGACTTAAACCTGAAAACACACAGACTCAGGGGGACTCGTGTCACGGTGGGGACCTAAATTGAGGAAAGCAGTACGCCTATAGAGAGTCCCCACAAGGATAGCAAACCAGACATGTGTGTGTGTGTGTGTGTGTGTGTGTGTGTGTGATGTGTGTACCTGGTATTCCCTATATGTTATGAGGAACAAATGTCCCCACAAGTATAGTAATACCAGTAAATTTTGACCTTGTGGGGACATTTTTTATTTTTATTTTTTGGTTCCCATGAGGAAACAAGCTTATAAATCATACAGAATAAAGTTTTTTGAAAATCTAAAATAGCAGAATGTTTTGTGTGAGGGGTATGGTTAGGGGATAGAAAATACAGTTTGTGCAGTATAAAAACCATTACTCCTATGGAGAGTCCCTGTAAACCACATATACCAACATGGTTTATGGACTGATTTAGACTTTTTTCTGTTGGACTGTGTTTTTGAACAGCTATGTTGTTGGGATTTTGGAACTTTTTGAATAAACCTTTGTGGATGAAGCTGCATTTGTGAATCGTTTGCAACTTGGAATCACCCATTCTAGGCGACCCAGGTTCTAGATAAGCAAGCATCAGACCTTGACGAAATAGAAATGTGATAGTATTTTAACATACAATGGCATACAGCGTTGACAGAAAAACACTTAGGCCTTTCTGTGTTTGCTTCACTGAGGGCGTGACATCTTTTTGGAAGAAAAGACTTGGACTTGGTTTTTCATTATCAAACGGTGACAGAAAGAACTGTAGAACTGAATCCTCAGTGATTCCAAGTTCACTTAGTTTGTCAACATAATTATACTCTTTGCCTCTGTGGGAAAAAAACAACAACATATAAGAGTTATATATATGTTTGTTCATGTAATTATATTTTTACTACTGATTTACTATATTGTTTAAAGTATTGAAAATCTTTCAATATTGTGTCTTAACACACACACACATACATAATGATGTAATCTCATGATATGATCATCACCTGATGTGAATTGTTTAAAGTATTGAAAATCTTTCAATATTGTGTCTTAACACACACACACATACATAATGATGTAATCTCATGATATGATCATCAGTGACCTGATGTGAAGAACTGGTGCTGGTATATTGCTTTCGAGAGAAAGCCGTAGTGTCACATCTCTCAGTGTATCACTTTCGAGGTCAACTTTGATTTCAAAGTCCCCCTATTGAACAAATATAATAAAAATAAGATGACTGATGTTGATCCAGAGGAGATTTGGGATGGTTGTAACACAGGATGTAAGTTTAACTCATTTGTAAATGAGTCACAAGGATGAAATGACTTTCATGCATGAGCACCATGCTCCTGAGGTGACTGGAGATGTGGTAAGTATATTTGTACAAATTTTGTACAAATATGAAGGATTTGACTTTTGGGTTATAATATGATTCTGTATCATGTTAAATAACAGAATGCAATCAGTAGATTCTTCTGTTTACATTTGATGTATTACACTGTTAATGGAAAAAGCAAAAACAAAAAGCATAACAACCATCCTTGGTCTTTTCTACACTTGATACTAACAACATTACCTTCTAAATGTGAAACTTTGGGGTTTGTTTTGGTGAATCAATAGATTTTCAACTTTTGATTAAAGTGATCATACACCAGTAGCAGTACCTGTAACATTATGTGACAGCGGATGACACTTGGTCCTTCATTTCTGATGTTGGCCTGTCTTTGTGTTGGTGGTAACACTGTTAAATTTTCCCTTGGTGTAAATATGGCATATAGTTCGCTCCCACTTGCAATATGTCTGTCATTCAAAGACCCTTTAATGATAAAGATAGAAACCATGCAGAGAAATTAAATTAGAGAAAAACATGCAGAATTGATAATAGCAAGAAAGTCATAAAGTGTCAACAAAAAGTTTGTGAACTCTTTGATCTGGATTTCTGCACTAATTTTTTATTTAAATTTGGACTGATCTTAATTTAATTCACAACTATAGACAAACACAGTCAACACTCATTACTGTCAGACTTTCAGAATCCTTCATCATTTGAATTAAGATTATAATTTATTTTTAAATCACATCCACCACAAAAGCACCTTTTTTTAACTTTGAGATCATTCTGAGGTTAAATACAGATTTAAAACCATAACAAGAAATAGTTTAAAAGCTATAATACTCTTTTTTAAATCAAATCTTTGCATAGCTATGACAGCATACACAGGCATCTAACAGTTAATCTTAAAAAAAAAGCATATACATAAACCTAAATAAGAAATAAAACAGTTATATAAACGTGTCCTATTCTGTGTCTTAAACTCCTGAAACATTGGTGTGTCATATTTTAGAGCAGTCAATGCAATTTGGGAAAGAAATCTATTAAATCTCTCTGTGTGTGTGTGTGTGTGTGTGTGTGTGTGTGTGTGTGTGTGTGTGTGAAAATATTCAGATGTAAAACCCTTTGTAATCTTTAACATTTTCATAACTGTAATTTAATTACACATTTTTTCTCAGTAACTGTAACTCCCCAACACTGCTAATGAGAAGACACCACATTTGGTGCTGGAAACAATTGTCTCTGTATTCGAAATAAAACAATGTTTGAAAATGATCTTCAAAAACATTTGAATACTTACATGTGTTGAAAAAGGGGTCATCGGTCAAAGGCATACCATCAGCAGTGTAAAGGCATACAGACGTGTCTCTGTCAAGCTTGTTTTCATGGCAGATTCGCAGCATCAGGTCTTCCACTGTATTTTGCGAGGGATCTATACCTGTACAATGGTAATGGGACAAAAAAAATATATATATTTTTTTTGATAGTAAAGAACCCCTTAAACCCTTAAAACCCATAAAAATAACAACATTAGTACTGTTTATGAAGTGTGTAGGCCATAAAGATTTACCTGTGATCTTTTGTATCCCAGGACATTTTGAAAATCGATAGGATATTTGAAATGAATTAAGTGACTTCATTACTGGCATTTCTTGCATCTCTGAAATTGGTGCATTGCCAATCTTTTGTAGGTAATCAACCATTTTGACATACCGGTTCTTCTCTGCTTGTGAAAAATCTTTTAACAGAACAAAAAGAAAATGACCCGTAATATTTAATACAGAGCTGATTAATTTCATGAGAACTTGTAGGGAGAGTGAGGTAAGATGCCAGCCACTATACTGTAAGTTAGACCTCCTCCCCATTTGACCATTTAGAACTGCCTATCATCATATCTGTAATTATCTTTGAGAGGAGACATGCACGTCCAATAATTTTAGATTTTCATTACAATCAAATATAAAATATCGATAAAATATACATATATTTTTTACTTGACAAGGCATTTACCCCAGATAGTTCAACATACACTTTGACATGGTCCCAATATAGTGCACTTTATTGCTAATAAATAGATAAAATGGTCTTTGTTGACACCATCTTGTATACTGTCGTGCATTATGATGTATCAAAATGATAAATATTAACAGAACAGATTTAAAAAAGCCCAAAAAACAACTTTTTGAGAATAGAACTCATACCCATGCTTTTTAAGGTCTCATCATTGACACTGTCAAAAAAATCCAGTTCTTCTTTAATCCCAATGTCAATTAATTTTTTGTAGTATTTTTCCAATCTGTAATTCTTAAGTAATATGAATATTTTTTCCATCTGAAACACACATCAATAATATAAATCAGTAGGATGCTTTCTGTTAAAAATATATAAAAAACATAACTTTTGTGCAAAGCTTAAAAAAGCAGTTTTCAGCAGTATTCATGTCATGTTAGAGCTATCATTAGCACTCATATAACTTTGGTCTATTGATGAAGCATTATTTTTTTTTTTTTGCATGGTTAGCAAACAGTCCCGCCCCAAACTCACACCACTGGTTGTCCATCAAGTGTAACATGTTGGCAACGAATGTTTAAAAAAAAAAATCTGTGGCTTAAGAATTTGATGGAAGTGTGACTAGCTTATGATGCACAAAAATGTTTATTCAAAAAAGTGTGAACATGGCTATGTATGCACTGCAGCTATACTGTTGCATTTGACTATATTTTCCTCTACATCAATAGATGGCACAAAACCCACTGCAGAACTTTTCTAAACATTTGTTTTCCATAAAAATATGTAACAAGGTTTCCGGAACTCTGTAATCTACACTGTAAAAAATAAGTGTAATTTTAACTGTAAAATTTTGTAAAAACGCTACGGAAAAAAATGTTAATAGGTTAACAGTAAGTTCCCGTACTATATACAGGGAAAAACTGTAAAAT